TTGGAGACACCCGGAGCAGGGGGAAGCAAATGGAAATGGCTGGGAGAGCATCCCATCAAGCCCAGAGCTGCCATCCTACCTGCACCTCCATCCTAAATCTGGCCTGGCTGCAGGCAGAGGGGTGGAATCACGGAATCAGAGAATGGTTTGGGTTGGAAGGGACCTTAAAGATCATCTAGTCCCACCCCTCTGCCATAGGCAGGGACATTTTCAACTAGTTCATGTTGCTCCAAGCCCCGTCCAACCTGGCCTTGAACACCTCCAGGGATGGGGCAGCCACAGCTTCTCGGGGCAACCTGCACCAGGGGCTCACCACCCGCACAGGCAAAAATTTCTTCCTAATATCTCATCTAAATCTCCCTTCTTCCAGTTTGAACCCATTTCCCCTCATCCTATGGCTCCACTCCCTCATCCAGAGTCCCTCCCCAGCTCTCCTGGAGCCCCTTTAGGGACTGGAAGGGGCTATGATGGTTCCTCCTGACAGCTCTTTCTCAGCTGGTGGAGAAGTGCAGCCAGCAACTGTTTGGCTACATTTCCCACTTGTTTGTAAATAATGTTAAATGTGGTTAAATTTTAAATTATGTTAATGTGACAGACAAATGACAAAGAGTAAATAAGATCTACCACTAATCCTAAGCAGTAAATAAGAAACCGTAGATGGTAAATAAGAAACTGTAGATGGTAGATAATAAACGGTAAATCGTAAATCAGTGAATAAATAGTAAGTAATAAATGATAAACAACAAATAATAACTAATAAGTAACAAATAATAAATATACATAGCAAATAACTAAATGAATACAAATAGAATAGATAAATGAAGCTCTAAATAACAAATAACAGTTGTTGTTATTATTGACATGATAAATAACGTTGACGGAGGCTGCTTGGGGAAGGTCCCTGCTGCTGGGCGAGCAGGGGTGTGCACGAGGCCGGGGGACGTGGGTCCTGGCGGGGGGTCCTGGTACACCCCAGGACCAGCAGCACAGCGACCGCGATGATTATTGGACCGCTATTTCTTTATTTCACCTTGTGGCAGGCATCAAAATCTCTGATTCTTCACCCGGCTGGCAGGTAGTAACTCCCACTGAGGCGGTGACAAGCCGTGCTGGGGACAAAGGGGACAAGCTGTCCCTAAAGCAACCTTTTGGCATCGTTTTAAATGTTTGAGTGTCTTCCTCTCCAAGGTAAAAATGGAGATAAAGGGGCAATATTAAGAAACAAACTCACAGCCTTTAATTAAACCTGGGGGTTTGCCCGCTCCGAAGCGGCACGGCGCCCAGAAAGAACCTCCATGGCAGACCCAAGTGTGAGTTCTTCTTACCGGCTGTTGGGTTTTGCCTGGGCGCCGTCACAGGGAACCGATGGGTTTCTTTTGGGCTGGGTTTCACCGGGCAGCATGGACCATCACTTCACAGCATCTCCTCCCCTCATCGCCCTTTCCTTCCCCGGACCACCCTGGGAAAGACTTGATCAAGTTCTCCTTGGAAGACCCTCTGATTTGCTTTGGATCCCCTTTTAGATCATTATGATCCCAGGGAAAAAAAAAATATTAAAAAAAATAAAATAATAAAGTAAAAAAAGCAGAAAGGGGGGTTGGAGACGGTCTTCCACCATCTCTGCCATATCCAGGGCCAGCTGGACAAAACGCCAAACCACGGGACCATATGTGTGAACTGAATTTAATTAATCGGC